AGGAAAACTGATAGGTCAGAGAATTTGTGTGCATGGACTGCTTTTGGCCCATAAGGTCACATGGATTTTCTGTTTTTGAAACCAGGCACAAAGAGCATAATTGTATTCATTATACTTCTTATGGATAGTAGAATTATGAGGGTTGGGAGCAACATAGAGAGCCGCAGCTGTGCGCAGGTTTATATCTCTAAAACCCATATGACCTTTTGAACTGATAAAATATCATAGATAGTTCGTATCGGAACTTAAGTTGGTAGAGTCCAGTTGTCGCAGCAGGAAACCGATTCAGCCAGTTTGACTTATTTCTCGCTTGATTTGGAGTGAGACTGGATACTACTAAAACGTCGCCTACCAGATATCTAAAAGAAAGAATCTTTCGTATCCTTTAGCCTTCGTTTTTCATAGATTTCAGTATAGTTGACATGTTATGTAGAGCAATGTCTTTGTCTACTACTAAAAGGTGCTATTTAATAACACTTATTTGTGTAATCAGACACGAAAAATTTAGGGCAAACGAGAATTCACATTCCACCCACAAACCCCCAGAGAAAACTACGACTCAGACTAAGACACCTGGCGTGGAAATACTCTCTTTTTCCACAGACTATTTCTATGAGCCATTCATTTAAATCTCTTCTTTGTAGCTCATCCCAACTCCCTTTCTCGACGCTTTTTGTGTCTTAATTATTGTATAGTATTTATTCTGTACAATAAAGATTTGAAAACATTTCAGCATCATCATGGACAGTAGCTGCAACTAATCATTAAATATAATTAGTGCGATCACTATAATTTTCAAATGAAGTCGAGTACATATACGAAATAGAAGAAACAGATGGTATCTCGAATAACAATTCATTATACAAGATACGACGCTTATTGCAAATTTCAGATTATTATTTTTTATTTAGGACCACTCGCATAGTATCTTGGTGCCACAGTATGTATAATACAATAAACTAGTACAGTATATGGAGTCATTACAATGTTTTTTGGAGGTTAATTTATTCTCATTTTTTCTTTATATGATGAACTATTTCCTATAGACGTTATTTGCATATTGTCAAGGGGTATGAATTGGTTTTTCTAGGTTTTATGAATAATGCGCAGTTCGTCAAACAGCTCTTAAAATCATACCCAAAGAGGTTTCCATCATGGTATACTGCCTGCAACAGTTTGCAGTATACACTGACGCATCAGAACCACACGGAGCTGGACTTCCACCCAGATGCACACACAATGAGTGGCTTCAATGGGGTGTCAAGAGTAAGCATGGAAAGCGGATTTTGACTCATGGGTAACCTCCAACATGCCAGCATCTATTAAACTGTACAGACAATGGAGCAAGCCCATTGTAGGGAGATTTGTCTCACATCCGAGCACTGGGGCAAAGCATGGGAAAAACTCAGTGATGCCAAACCAGAGACAGACCTGCCCATTCACGGCTCTGAGGGAAAAAAAACGTGGGAGAGGCGAGAGACAAAAAAATAAACATAACAATAAAAAGTGGGGGGTGCGGGCAACGGGGTGTTGTGGAGGTGGTTTTTCAAAAGAAAACTAGTGACCACAACTCTGAGAGCAATGAATGGAAGGGAGGAGTTTAAAATAGTTTTCTTTTTTTTTTTAAAGTTATTTAAACTAATAAAAATGGCTGCTGCCGTTGCTAAGGCACGGGAGAAAAACAGAGTCCCTGAAAATCACAGGTACTGTGCGACTTCTTTCACAACGACACAGAGAGGGAAACAGCCCCATTTAACCTTCCTGAACTGACTGGTTTGCAACCATTCCCATGCTTGAGCAGCCCACACGATATTGATAAGACTCTTCCTGGAAAAAGATAAAACAGTCAAGAAAACACACAAACAGAAAACCAAACCGAACCGAAGTACAGAACCGTTGTTGTTAAATCCAACCCTTTCAAGCCAAAATGCTGGGGGAGGAGGTGGGACTCCAACATCAAGCACTTGAAAACATGGAGGACAAAATATTGATCAAAAAAGTCATGTTGTTCCAGGTCCCAAGATGATGGAGTCACAAGATCGTGGGCGATGACCACACATGTCCTGTAATGGAGCAGTGTCTCAGCCATTTTGTGACTCTTTTCTCAGCCAGGTACACATTGGATTTCAAAGCCTCAATGCATGTTTGTATCCTGAAAGTCTATTGTTCTCACTTACAAAAGACATAAGAATCAATTAATACTTTATTATCAAACACTATATACAACAGAGGTTGCTAATAATACAGAATTAAAGAACGCAGGTTTTTTTTTTTTTTTTTTTAACGTTTTACTTTCTTTCCTTTGCCACCCAAGAAAGTACAGTACAAAACAATAGTCTAATCTAACACGAACTGTTACCTGGTCTATAAAGGATACACGGTATCCACTAAACAGACAGATCCTTATTTCCCTGCTTCATGTTGCAAAGCCCTTGGCAACCAGGGGCAAAGGTCGCTGGGTTTGACTAACTGGGGCTGAGGGGGCAGCTATGCTGCCCTTCGACTTTTGAATTGTTTTGAAATTAAAATGCTACAAAGTTGCATCGACATCCTCCTAAGCCCCCAGAGGATTGTTAACACCAGCACGAAAGGCCACCAACACTTTTTAAACAAAATGAAAACGGTCTGACGCCAATCATCTTCTTGAAAACTCCATGGCGAGGCATTAGCTACGATTACGTCACTTAAGTAGAGAAGCATACTGTCTACTGGCGTGGATAGTCTTGCTTATTTCTTTTTACTTAATTTGCAGGGGCACAATGGTGAAGTAAAGGGGTCTAATTTCACTGTGAAAAAAAAAATGAAAGACAATGGCAGAGAGGGCCATGAGTAATTATTTCATCAGTTAAGAGACAAATGCTAGAAAACACAGAAGTCACCATTTCTAAAATGAAATCAGCACTGCTAATGTAGTTATGACTAACGGGACTCATTATAGGATCATTTGATTTCCTTTTGTTATAGAACATGCAGTATTATTGGTTCTGACTATTGATCCATTTAGAAGGTATCTTTCCCCCCTCCCTACTCAAATCCCAGGGACCAACAAGCCTGTAACTATTAATCAAAAGGAGTATTTCTGGAAATTATCAAGAGTATGGAGCATGTCAATTGTTAAAGGAAAAAAGGAACAAACGCTGTGAATTTTTGTTTAATGAAATGGTGGCTGCCTTCTGTGATAGACTCTGCCACTCCAGAGAAGTTTCTGATGTCAGAGGGGAACGGATTGCTTGTATCTGCGAGGCTGCCCACCCCACGCACGTGGTTCCGTGACAAAAGACTCAGCAGTCACATCCACTCCAAAGGATCAGGTAAGCCCAGATTACATTTCAACATGTGCACAACTCTCCAGGGTGCCGTACGTTTACAGCTGCCTTTCATTCACGTATTTGTCTAATGCAGAACTACTCACAATTTTAAGCAAATTCCCATTCCTGAAGTCTAAACTCCATATTTGTACATATACATCTTAAAAACAAATATATAAAAATCCTTATGCTGGAATGCTTTCAATTTTCACATTTTACATGATCACATTTATTTTATTTTGAAAGGCATGGTTTCCATTGACATGTCGTGCAATAGCAAAAAAGGCTAGATTGCTTTTCCATTGGTCTATAACACTTTTCCTGTCTAGCTTTGGATTTAAAGTTCATGACAGCCCACCACCAGTAGAAACCCCAGGGCTTGCATTCCTGGTAATCAACTGGACATGTCCCTGTTGGCCATGCTAAGATTCCTTAAACAGGGTCATCCTGCTTTGATTCACCTTCTGCCCCACCCCCACAATGAAACAAGATAGCCCCCCATATTCTAACTGTATCAAGGGGATACCACTTCCTCACAAGTTTAAATAGGACAAGCATATATACTCACTCTCAGCATAAAGTATACTAAAAATGTATTTCTATTCTAGTGGATTTTTAAAAAAATATTTTGTTAAAGTCTTTGGGACTCCATCTTGTTATCTCCACAGATAAACGCATGTTCCCCCTACGCTTCAGGCTGTGTCAGAAAGGAAATAATATAAAATCAACACTTGAAGATTTTTCTTTTTTATTCCAAACTTTGGAATTTTATTTCCAAATTTCCCTTTAGCCTCCCCAAGTAGTGCTGACTGACTCTCCTGGTGACAGGGTCTGTGTCCGAGCCCCTGCGGTCCTCGAGTGTGGAGCAGAACGTGGGTTACTAGGGTGGGAGTCCGGGAAAGGCCACAGCACACTGGCGCTCCAGCAAAGCCAAACCACACCTCCTCTGGCCACCGAGATCCTTTCCTTGGTACACATCGTTCCCCAGAGGAGCATCCAAAGCTATTCCACTACGCACTTATCAACCCTGGCTTGTCAGCCTTGGGGAAGGTCACTTTATTCATAAAAATGCCTCTTTTTTTGAGTTTCTAAAAAAAAAAAAAAGTTGTAGCACCATGGTGATCTGTATTCGAAGGAGAAAAAAAAAAAAAGCATCTGGTGTGCACTGCCCAGTCACCAAAAATATCAGAGGCACTCACACATACACACCCCCACCGGACACATAGTTTTTCTCTGTTTTCACGCTTGCTGTATGTTAGCATTTTCTGTACCCAACCCGCCTCCTGGAAAAAAAAAAAAAAAAGGCTTCTTTTACAGGGTACAAGTTTTGCTGTCAAGAATGCTTTAAGACAGTCATATTAAAAAAACCCAGTGTCTCAACCTTTTAGAAGCCTGTTCATTTATCCACTCCTAGAGGAAATGGTGTAATATTATATCTATTCTTAATACCTCCCCTCTGGACCTGACATGGTGACATGATGCCCCGCGCGATCATCTTACAGTTCTGAATGAGAAGGCATAAATATTGCATAGGAGAGCACAACCCTCCCGGGCCTGGCCATCAACTGGCTGCATCTGCCACTATTCTTCCTCGTCCACATGCTGCTGACACAGTGCACTAACGGAGGTGAGCTCTTGGAGGAGAATGCACAGGAGCTGACAAACCACTGGTGTCACTACGACAACTTGGCATTTTTCATCTGGAGTGCATTTAATTTGGGAGGGGTGAAAGAAGTCAAGGGCAAGGGCCGGGGGTGGGGGTGTGGGGGTGGGGCAGGCAGTAACGCGTTTAGCCCCCCCGCCAGCCCCAAGTTGTTGCTTAGAATTCAGGCTGAAAGAAAAAGAAAACAAACAAAAAAAAATCTGACATCTGCCAAAACCCAATAATAAGTCCCTTCTTAGGATGAGCAGTTAGGTGGATCTCTGGTGTTCCAAGACCCTGATGTTCTCTGTGACAGGTGACGGGAGGAGACTGTGCTATAATGTCAAAAGCATCGCCAGGAGGAACAGTAGGATTGCCAAAAGGCGGCTGGGTATCCTTGGTGTTTGTGCCGCGTTCTCGCCGCGGGATGGCTCGGCTGACTCATGTACGGTGTCATCTGTTCAAATAGAAAGCACACATTCCAATGAGATTTCACATCCTTAATAACTCTCTTGCAGCAGCCTGCTGTTAACAGACCTTGCCACCCTCTGCAAAGTAGGGTAATGAACCTTGTGCCACCATTGACTTTCATGTCTGCATAATCACTCATTATTTACAGCAAACAAAGAAGAGGCAGAGAAAATTGGACTTTCTCAGCAATATTGATGCTTTCCTTAAAAATGGAGGGGAATATTTGTGCATACACTGTAACCTTTGGCACGTGAGCCACTTTGGTTTGCCAGCAACCAAGCACTCCTTGCACAAACTTGGGATATCTGAATGTGTTTTTTAAACCTAAGATGCCACAGGAAGGCAAGTAACGTGTGTGTGTGTGTGTGTGTGTGTGTGTCTGTGTGTGTGTAGGGGGTGAGGTAAAGGGCAGTTATGTTGGCATATTAAGGGTTAACCAGAATGTGCTGCCCACTTTCTTTTTTTCAGCTGTTTTACAGGATTAGTGTTGAATGCCCGGTTGTTGGATGCCTAGATGAATTTTCAAATACGAAAAATTAAATGCCAAAACAACAGCATTTTAAGTAAACTGTACATAATGCCCTGTAAACGTCAATAAATGGGTGCCCACTGGTTTGCCTACAATTAGGTATCAATTATGGTGCCATTTCCATTAGAAACCCTGTACTTCCAAGATTAAATTACTTGAACTTAACTATTTTTATTTTTATCGGGTTGAAGCTTGGCACATAAATTATCAGCATGGATGCAAATTTTCTTCTAAATAAAATGGATTAAGTGAGTTAAGCTGCTTTTATTTAGCTATAAAGTGTTCTGTGAGGCTGCCTCTGACTTTGGGTAGCCTTCCTGATCTGCATGATTAACGGGCTTAGCTTCGAAACGGGAACTCTGCAGCAATTAGTACCCAAAGATAGGCTGGCGGCTTGCCTACCAGCCACGCTCTGCTCCAGGGCTGCCGTCTTCTTCCCTCCACCTGGCCTAGCTTGTGCTTCTAGACTAAGCGATCTCCAAATGACACGTTTTTTGGGTTCAACAGTGGGCCTCTGTGCAGACTTTTATTCCGGCATCGGGGGAAATTCACGCAGGTGCTCGGCAACTGCCATCTAGGATTCGCTCAATGGTCAATCAGAGAGCATGGTAGCAAGTGAGACTCGGTGGTTATTCTCTATTACACTGACCTCAAGGGATAGTCCCTGAATATGCCTAAGGACGCACCTCAAACCCTGTAACGAGTTAACTGTCCATTACTGTAAAACTCATTCACATTTTCCTACTACACAACATGTCACGGTAAGGATGCTTTTTCTTTCCTGGGTAGGGGCACACTCCCTATTGTCTGTCCTAAAGTAACTGCTTTTCAGGCTCACAGGCTGGCCTCTCCTTCAGATATGCTCATCTGGGATGTTTGTGTCCATCACATTCATGTCCAACGTGAACTAAGAAGTATGTCTTCTCGGCACTGAGTCTTCTGCCCTGCAGTGTTCTCATCTCGTTAGCTTGCCCTCTCTCGCAGAAGCTGCCGCATCCCTCTGCCATCCTCGCTCCCCTTTCCTGGACCTTAGCAAACCTTCATGGAGTGCTTTCAGCCGAGAAGACTGGAAACGGTTAGGAAGCAAGAATGGGAAGATAAACAAACGCAGAGAAAATGTAAAGCCCTGCATAGTGTAGCCAAATACTTGCAGACCCTCCTCTTTTCTCTGCTCCTTTTCAGCCTTGCAAATGTATTAATTAAATCTGCAGTTAACAGGAAGTTCTAGTAAAGGCCCTTAATAGCTCTGAAATTAAAATCCAAATCACTTTCTTAAGAGCACCAATATGTTGTCAATCAAAACAATGGAGCACTTGAGGCTTAATTGTGAAAGAGTTATAAACCCTGAGGATTCTAGAGTTCATTTTAGAACATCAGTTATATTTATACACCTGAAATTACATCAGCTAGTGGGTTCTTCTCCACCTTATTTTTTCTAATGTATTGCTCAATCCTCCTCTTTGTATAATTTAGAAGCGTATTGCTAAAAGGTACTCCAGTAGCACTTAGGTACTCAGTGTGAGCATGAAGCGGTTTCTTCACTGCCAACTGCCCCCACTCTGCTCAGTGAGGGCTGTCCATTACTCCAGACCACTCAGCATGAGACACAGTGAATGAATCTCACAGGATACCTGAAAGGAAGGCTTTTGTTTTTCATCTATATGAAGCATGAGGCTAAATGTGCCTTTCAGTCCTTTAATCATAGACAATCTTTGGAAGTAACCCTTCTATAAGCAACCAAGAAATAAATATACATCATCTTGCCCCCATAGGAGAGAATCTGTCCCATCAGGGCATCACAATTCTTCTCTTCTTCCTGCAACATGCTGTTCCTCATTCAGGATTCCACAAAGCATCCTTTGATTAAAACAGGGCCTCAATGTTGGGAGATTCTATGGCCCTCAAGAGTGTAATGAGAAACTGGCTGTCATTTGGGTAAATCTGAGCAATTTCCGAATTCTAAGGAGGAATTCATAAGCAAAATCTATCCCAATGGAAATTACACCAAATATGAAAGAATGTCTAATGCTTGTAATGGCGAACATGGATTGGAAGGAGAAAATGTTCCTCTTCAGAAGCCAAATCAAGTCCTGCCTCCTGACTGCAGGATTCCACAAAATGGGGGTTCCAATGGTTAGCTGAGAGAACACTAGTGATATTTTGGAGCATGTTACGTGGCATATGTCTGCCCTGAGATCATCCTGCATCCCTGATGATAGGAAACTGGCAGGCAGAGTGTGCAAGCAAACAAAAAGGACAAATACATTCCAAAGACAGGTGAATTAGTACACATTGCTGAGATCATGCAGTAGAATCCCTTCAGGCTTGCTGGATTCATAAAGTCTGGGTCTACACCCAGAACTGGATTCTTTCACTCAGTGGTTCAACCCAGTGGTGAAAAGCTGCAAGTCGGACTGAATTTTCTAAGGAATAAGGTGAGATACTCAAGTTTGTTCTTGTATTCATACCGCCGGGAGTTGTGGCTTGACTTTCTCTACTTTTTTAGTAAAGATGCTTACCAGCAAGCCCTTAAATATAGTTATGACTGGCTCAGAAAGCTTTTCCTGCATGTACACCTATGATCTAGTCCTACATGCACACACACACACACACACACACACACACACTTAATTAACTACATTCTGTCAATCTTTTGCAAACTTCCTTCAGCTACATGTCTGCAGATTTGGGGCCATCGTGAATTTTAAAATGCTCCATGAAAAAGAGCTTGCTTCCCCAAAGACAGTGAAATATGTTCATGTAGTAAAGCACCTTAATATCTTGCAGTTTGTCATTAGTTGAATTCAAAGATTATTCTCCTAATGGTAGAACAGTCTACAGCGTGCCTCTTCATTACCAGAGACAAACATGCAATCTGTTTCTGCACAGCCTCTTACTTTCTAGATAGCAGTGCAGTTTATAGCTGGAAAAAAGATCATGGGAAAGATATGTCTACATTCTGTATACTGTGTATCAGAAAACCATAATCCTGGGTAATTTTTGTTTATAGCCTGCCTTCCTCTGCTGGCCATTCTACTTGTGATTTACTAACAAAGCCAAGAGAGTTAAGTCCTCTGTGAACATCTATACCTCTAGCAGTGGTAAGAGAATACTACTTTGATACTAATGTTGGAACAGGAGTCAAGAGATCTGAAATATTCAACCTGGATCTAACTAGCTGTGTGGAATGGGCAAGTCTCCTTGGCCATGGAAGGGAGTGTGGACTCTGTGGTCTTTAAAGGAGATCCCGTTAGACCTGTAGACCCTTCGATGTCCCCAAGTCCCTGAGCTTGTGAGGAGTCTGGCACCTTGAAAAGCCACCATAATGTCTCCAGATTTCTAGCACACAATTAAAATGTCTGCGCATATTCCCTGCAACTTTCTAAAGTGGCTAACTTGTCCCTGGGGAGTCACTAAGACCTTTGAGAGCTCATTGTCCCTGCTCTGGGTGAGATGCTTGCCTTAGAAAAATTAGAATGCTTGGGGGGAAAAAACTAACTCTTCCTGTCAGTTACAACATGAAAGCTATTGTATGTCCCAAGGCACCACGTTTACCCAGGCTAAGTTTCCCTAAGGCTCATTGACTGTGTAGTCCTGGTAACATACTGAGAGGAGAAAGTGGACCTCAAAACGCTTTAATTTGCGGGACCATAAGAACAAGAAGTGCCACTACAGAAAGACAAAACTTCTCCATTTACTGAAGGGGGCTCAAACCTCTCTGTGAAGAGGAGATACTTTTATTTCCCTTAAACTTGGAGATGGTCATGGGAGACAGGTAAAAAAATCCGTGAAGATTTCGAGCAGAGAGAAAAGGGCACTACACAGGGAACCCAGGAGCACCCAGGAGCTCCGTGGCTCACTCCTCCATGGGCAGGGGATAGAGGGTCACTGCACCTCCCAATAACCTATTTGCATTACATGGACAGACTGAATTTGAAACCAAACGGAGAGTTAACAGGTTGACATTACCCACAGTATGCTACAACGTAAATGCTTCAGTGAGCGCTTTTGTGGGTTTTCTTTTTCTTTACAGTGGTGGGAAAGTTTGGGTGTGTGGAAGTCAATCCCAGAAAAAACTTATTTATCCTCAAAATTTATTTTGCCTCAGTAATCGAGGATCACATTTGGCTCGCCGGGCTACTGGTCCATTTGTGGGAGCAGCAGGTGTGTAAATTTGTGGTGGCAACATGATCATACTTCTCCAGACCAATTACCATTGACAACAACAGCACAAATAATATTGAAATGAAATAAAATGAAATTCCTCAGGTCAGTTCAATGATGCATGTGAATTTCTAAAGAAAACTAAGTATGTTGAATTAGTTGCTAATTGTGTAACAGTCTTATTACTTTTATCCGTAGATTTGGACATAGTAAAGAAGAAAATTTTGTAAACATATACAATAGAAATGTTTTCTGTCTTATATGGAAACAGATCCTTTAATATTCACAGTGATTCACCAGCATGCTCTGAGGATATGGTAAAAAGGCAGTGAGATTTTAGCATTCTGATGGATTTTTCTATATTAGGATACTGTATTAGATCAAACCCATGTCCAAAAAAGAAAAGTATTTTATCTCACATGCATTACACAAAGATATTGGAGAAATGAGGTAGAATATAAGTCATATTAGCATCGCTAGCAATGAGCAAAAGCAGAACAACTATAACATGCAAACATGCAGAGAGGAAGAAAGGAAAAAAAGTACTGAAGCATCAGAGAAATAGATGCACTTGTTAAAAGAGATTCTCTAAGCATACTAACCTGCTGGTTCTAATGAATTTTCTACTTTGTCGTTAACATCGAAAACACGATCATGAACACCTATAGTTTTCATACAGCTATCTATAACAAAAATAGAGATAACAGCCAAATATGTTAGTGAAGACACCCTTAAACTCCCGCTTCTTTCTTTTTTTCTTTCTCTCTATTTTTCCTTTTATTTATGTAGAGATTGTTTTACAATCAGTGGCATGTATTCAAATGCCAATAGGGTTCCCCGATTGCTGTGCACGTACAACAGTCTAAGAAACAACAAGTTAGCAACTGCTGTGTACTTAAATAAAAGCATCATGAAGAATGATGAGAAAAAATATGATGAAAACTCAAACATGGATGTTGATATACAAAAAAGATACCACACAAGATTTAACAGTAAAAAAAGTTTTACCGCCGTGAACCAGACCACACGATAAAGCATGCGCAGGGAAGCCACCCTCTGAAGCTCATTCTACGGAACTTACTTGTTGGTCTCACAAAGACTTTGAGCTTTAGACAGGACCTTCTTCCATTATCTGGGATTGCAGAAGCTGTGGGGAGGGGGAGAGAGAGAGAGAAGGAAAGAGACAAGGAGAAAACAACCGATTACTCTTCATTTCCACGTAGACAAATGGTCTATCATAAATTCCTTCCTGACCTCAACACCAGGAACCTGTTCTCCAATTCTTCCCCAAAGTTAAAACAAACAGTACTTTGCAGATGGATCCAACTTCTATAGAAAGGCTACTTTCATACCCCCACCTTCTCTTTGCAATGCAATAAAGAATCATGCAAGAACGTGGGTAATCTGTGAAAAAAATACTTGGGATTTTTATTTCAAAGGCTCTCCCATTTAACACGCTCTGTTATCAATTTTCTCTAAATCAAGAGGATCACGCTTGAGCCCGCCTGCTTTCACGGAGCACCTCCTTCTCTGCACCAGGAAAAGGGGCCCAACGGGGGGAAGGGGGAGCCCAAGGTGAAAGTGCTAGCAAAAACCAATAACAGATAAACTTAAACGGCAGACTTAAACATGACCTATTTCTGCTGGGGGAAAGCAGAGCTTTGTCTGTCTTGAAAGCTTGTCTGTCAGTGCTTTGCAGGTAATTCAATTAGAGGTTTTACTCAGAACTTGGCTCCACATTCTATATGAGGAGCCCGGCCACTTCCATCTTGCTATTATAAGTACAATATGCTATTGAGAAAGTACTATGTTGCAATGGCACATTTATTTATTTATTTATTTTTTTAAATTTGCCACAGAGGAGGATGGAATTAATAAAGCCGGCTTACCAAAACATGACAACATGTTTCAAGTTATAAATCATTTGAGGAAGAAACTTTCTTCTCCTCTTCAAGATAATGAGACTGTAAACTTTCCCTACGTTTTGAAAGATTATCTCCCCTCGGTACACACAGCAGAACGTCTAAGGGATTTCCAAGGGTGGTTAGAGCCTTAACAACCACATATGTTTACTAATGCATTCTAGAAATGACAAAAATTACAGAAATGAGAGCTGCATACTTTCCTCCCTATGTGTTTGCTTCAAGTGGTTTCTTTGTTCGGGGAAAAGCAGATGACATCAATCAAAACACACATGGCTCACAATTAGCTTGGTAATACCCAAAGTGACAAAGAGAGGGGCCAGCATTTGGTGTGCCGTGTCTCGCTTTTATTTTTATTTTTTTATTATTCCTCATGGGGAGGAGCCCAGAAAACAAAAACATTTATTTTGCAGGTGGGAGGATTCGAGATGCAACCTCCAAACTAATTTGCTGTGAATCTCCTTATGTAACTATTCCGGAGGAGAATTTATAAATTCATCACCTAAATAATGTCAGGCAGTAAAGGATCTCCGGTGCTGCTATTCAACACCTGTTGAAAACTTTTTTAATTTTAAAACAAAAGTATAGAGAAAAAAAATGGTTTTGGCCCTCCCATTCTCCCCTGGTCGTTCTGACAAGCAGTTAAGAAGTGCTAACAGCTGGCTTTGCTGTAGGCTTTCATTAAATCAAAGTAGGAAAAACTCCCTCTACTGACATTTACAGTAACTAGTGTGTTATTTAGGGCACAATATTTGCACTCTGTGGTTTGATCCAGGAAATGGTGTCCTTCCTGTGGACCCCAACTGCAAATGTGCATGTCACAAATAGAGTACACATAGGTGACTCCCATTCATTAGAAAATCCATGGGTTCTTGAGGGAGTGAGTGTATGTCTCACTCATGGGAGGTGGTGTGAAGAAGTGCCACGTGGATGTTTACATTGCTGTTCTATGGATTTCTGAGCTGGGATGAACTCACTTCAAGCCTCCTGAACTTGATTTGCCACATGCAAATAGCTGATTTTATAGACGCTACTGCAGGATAAACAGGCTCAAGGCAGAATCAAATGGTTAATTGTTTTAGTGAGGAGCTTTTCTTGGGTTTAGCTCAGGTCTTCCAGAATTTTATTTAGGAGAAATAAATCCAGGACGTAAAAATCATTGTAGGGCACATGGGAATAACTGAACAGCAGCAGAAGCTGAGCCATCCCGGAAAAAACTGGAAAGTTCTCTCTCCAGCTTTCAAGGAGGGACAATAGCTTGAGCTACTGGATAAGCTGCATTCTTCTGTGAATTAAAAAACTCAAATGCAGCCGGGCGTGGTGGCTCACGCCTGTAATCCTAGCACTCTGGGAGGCTGAGGCGGGCGGATTGCTCGAGGTCAGGAGTTCGAAACCAGCCTGAGCAAGAGCAAGACCCTGTCTCTACTATAAAAAAATAGAAAGAAATTAATTGGCCAACTAATATATATAGAAAATTAGCTGGGCATGGTGGCACATATCTGTAGTCCCAGCTACTCGGGAGGCTGAGGCAGAAGGATTGCTTGAGCCCAGGAGTTTGAGGTTGCTGTGAGCTAGGCTGACGCCACGGCACTCACTCTAGCCTGGTCAACAAGCGAGACTCTGTCTCAAAAAAAACAAAAAAAAAACTCAAATGCATTTATACTTATGGAAAATATAAAATAAAAACCTCTCTTCTCCATCAACCTGTCCCATAACTTCTTCATCTATCACCAGAACACGTGATTGATGCTGGTGATGTTATTTGACTACTATACTCTAATCCTTAGAAAAATTTGTGACCAAAGAATATTAGCATACAATGTGATATGTGAGAACATGATACAGATTACGTTATTAATGGCTCACACTATCCAGCCAGAGCTCAGGGAGTAAACTCCGAACCCTTAGAGCCAACCTGAATGGTGCCTTACAAGGGCTGTATACTTTGGGTTCCTTATTTACCACATTGAAAAACAAAAATAAAACCCCAAAAGATAAAAACTTTTTCCATATACCAGCAAAACTCCACTTTTATGCAATGTTTAAAAAAGTGAGATTGTGGTTTCACTCCATGTTATGTTCAAGCTTTCTTTGCCTCACAACTCTTGCCCAACACGAGCACTTAAAAATACAGATGATTAATTATTAGCAACATTTGAAGATACAAGGTAATACAAAAGTGCTGTACTAGTCACAAGTAAATAAAAGACTGAGCACTAAAACCACAAAACAACCAAGGAACTGAAACTTGTCAAATTCCCACAAGTAAACACAGAAAGAAAACCCTCTCAGGATCCATTCTGAGCAAACGATACAGCTGAGGATGGAAGTGAGGGAGGAAGATCTTAGAGCGGGCCTGATTTTTTGTCATGAGGTGGGTAATATTAATCCCTATCACTCTAGAGACACATCACTTTATAATGACCAACATTATCTTTACCTTAGTTAAAAGAAAATTAACATGTGAATTTTTATACATACATAAATTATATAATTCTATAACTCCTTGTGCTCCTTTCCTCAGAAAATTAATAGTCAACATTAAAAGCTGAGAGTGAATAATTATCAAAATCCCTTACTGCAGCTTCATCCATCATTTCGAACACTTTGAAAATGTCTACTAGGCATCAGCTTCTTTATTAGATGGGGTGGGTGCGAAGATGTATCAGACACACTGTTCTTGCTTTTGTGTTGTGCTTATTCCAGCTGGAGCATAAATATGAACTACAGTTTAGGGTCGCTGAGGTTTACATGGAGAGCCAGCACAGCTCTGGGCAGGGAGTGTTGTTCGCTTTGTCTGGGAGTGTGAGGGTGTTCTAGACATGCTTGTCAGAGGGACTTTCATCAGAGGCTTCACAGGTCCTCCAGAAGCCAACCACTAGCAACTGGAACAAAAGCCATTTCATCCCTAAATTCCCAAATTGAAGCCCTGGCAACCAAAAAGACGTATTAACCTGCATACGAGTGAGGCAAATCTAGACCCGAATTCTTCCTATAAAGATACATGGGTTTTCTAATAGCATTTTTCAAATTAAAATGAGAAACGTCTTAAACAGTTGTCACATAATCCAAGCTCACATCCCTTTACTGTCCATTTACTGCTGAAAATGTCCATTTGGAGTCAGGAAGTTGGGAGCAGGCATACAGGGACCATTAAAACAAGTACAAGCTCCCATTGCATTATCTTAATAGCAACTTTATACATCAATCCATAGAGTCCCTTCCCCCTAATGAGCTGCAAAGTACCAATCAAAACCTTGCAACACATAATGAAATGTAAGCTGAGGGCTCTCTGGTTTCTTGGGTTTAGAGCACCATGCTAATAAGGCCGGGAGGGCCCCTAATTTTCCCTCTGTTCCACGACCTCAGTCAGGGCCCTAACTTCAGCCATTCCCTTGGTCTCCTGGGGCTCAGGTGAGCACGACTTAGCACTTTTCAGCCAATGTGGTACATAAAGGGGACCATATTCAGGGCCTCCAAATTAGTACTTCTAAAAGCTGTATTTAGCATTGCAAATATATGTAACAGTCACACCACAAGGCACCACAGGTCACTCATTTTGATATAGCAAGCAAATGCTGGTATCATGCTTGAGGTAGGCAGCTTCTGACACAAGGCTTCCAAGGACTGCCACCTTCTCCTTTGCTGGTCTCTGTGGAATCCCTCCCCCTCGGTGCAGGCTGAACCTAGTAACTTGATCTTTGTGAGGAGAACTCAGCAAAAGTGGTAGATGTCATATCTGTAATTATGTTGCAAAAGACTACAAATTCCTTCTGCTAACTCTCTCTCGTTCGCTCATGAAGCAAGGAGCCACGTTGTGAGATTCCCAGTGGAGAGGCCCCTGCGGCAAGAAACTCGGGGAAACTTGCAGGCCAAGAAGCATGCAGGGGACTGATGCCGTAGTTCAACAACCCACAACAGGGGTCCTCAAACTTTTTAAACAGGGGGCCAGTTCACTGTCCCTCAGACTGTTGGAGGGCTGGGCTATAGTTAAAAAAAAAAAAAAGCTATGAACAAATTCCTATGCACACTGCACGTATCTTATTTTGAAGTAAAAAAACAAATGGGCAAAAAACAGCCGCATGTGGCCCATGGGCCGTCGTTTGAGGACGCCTGACGCACGAGGAATGGAACCTGGCTGACTACCCTGTGGGCAAGCTAGAAAGTGACTCCTTCTCAGCTGAGCCTAGAGATGACCGTTGCATTGCGACAGACCCAAAGGACCCAGCTAAATTGCATCTGGGTTACTGACCCACAGAAACTGTGAAACAATAAATGTTGTGTTAGCTAGAACATTTTGGGGCAATTTGTTCGTCAAGTGCTAACTGATACAATCAATGCTTGCACACAAACAAATCTGCGCAATCAAAGGCTTCCCATCGCCGATTTCAGACGGAAGGACGGGGACACTGCAGCATATTTTGCTAATGGACAGCCATGCCCTCGCTCCCACAGAGCTGCTCACTCCTCCTTCCGCTGCCAGGCCTGAACAACTGCATCCCTTATTGGTTTACATTTCAAGCTACCGTTACAAGTCCACTTCAAACATGCCTTCAAGACAGGTAATTATAAACTGCCGTTGAAGAAACACGACAAGACATATCTATTTAAATGTTCTCACTCCAGCATTTCAAAACTGTTTTCCATTTTCCTTCCCATGCAACTTAGTTTTGTTTTGGCTAATGCGGCCAACCTGTGCTGTTCCTTGCAATTAGCATGATGTCTCACTCTCACCCCAAATGGCTGGGTGCACCTAAATGAGTTTTGATACAAAATGTGAACTGACACCGTAAGAGAGAATGCCTTTCCTCAAATACGAGAAATAGAATGTAAAGGTGAGATTTAAAAACACGTGAAATGAAAGGACTTTTTTTTTGAGACAGAGTCTCGCTTTGTTGCCCAGGCTAGAGTGAGTGCCATGGCGTCAGCCTAGCTCACAGCAACCTCAATCTCCTGGGCTCAAGCAATCCTTCTGCCTCAGCCTCCCGAGTAGCTGGGACTATAGGCATGTGCCACCATGCCCAGCTAATTTTTTCTATATATATTAGTTGGGCAATTAATTTCTTTCTATTTATAGTACAGACGGGTCTCGCTCTTGCTCAGGCTGGGTTCGAACTCCTGACCTTTGAGCAATCCATCCGCCTCAGCCTCCCAGAGTGCTAGGATTACAGGCGTAAGCCACCGCGCCCAGCCGAAAGGACTTTAAAATAAGTTAAAACTTCTCACACTGTAAAAAAAACTTCTGTTAATTATCTTTTACACAGGCCATCAGGTTAAATAAAAACACTGTGAGACTTCAGGCAACTCAGAAATTCCTGATAATCAACGTAACAAACAGTCTTCTTCATGAAGAACAAAAACTTGAGCAGGAGAAGAGTGAGACTCCCATGTTTCTGTCACATTTTCAGGACCAATACTGTACTCATTAGTCAACTTTAACATTTTCTGCCTAACCTTATTCAGCCTCAAATCTTAATTCTGAAAGCCCAAATCCTTTTCCTTTCCTGTGTCCCATGTCAATCTGGGTACTTTGGGAAATTTTATTTTTAAGAATAGTCAGCCGCTTTCTTCTTTTTAAAGAAATGAGTGTGTGTGGGAGCATTAAAAATGCAGTTTTCCATTATGTTTGCCACAGGCAATATTTCTCAATTTGTGCAAGTCAAAAGAAAAGATAGGCTATAAGTTGTTAGCAGGGCCCAGTTTTTTCCCCTGTAGGTTTTTCACGTGGTTCAACATACAACACAAATATATGCAAATTAGGCAGGTGAAGGCAAATTAAGTATTAAGATAACTTTCACAATGAATGCAGAAAAAAAAAATAAAGCTCATATAAATACAAGGGACTACTGGAAATATCTCCTAGAATTTAATGAGTCAATAAAATCCATTTTGTGTATATTGGTAGAAGGGGAAGGAACAGAAGAAGTGGTGGGAATAGAATAGTGATTAACCAAAGCCATATGGACTTCTTGGAAAATGGTTACCAGATCCACAGAAAAATTCTTAAAAGTTAGTCCTCTTCTTAGGGAGGAATACCCCAGCAACAATTTACAACTGGCTATCTGCCTTTTTAAAATCGCCGCAATCCTTAATTTTCATATTAGGACCAAAAATCACTAGTTAGGATGGAATACACCTCACTATTCTAACCTTTTGAGATTTCAAAGTCACATGTTTTAATGACTAGCTCACGGCCCCTGGTTTACCAAGCTCACAGATCCTCACAGCAACCTTAGGAGCTGGCTGAATTTGCTAA